AAACAACTCGAGAAAAAGATGGAACAAAATATGATTAAATATTAACAAGTCCAGATGCTCCATTCAACGCAGACAGGACAGCAAAATGATGTGAACCTTAAAGAAGTGTGAAGTGTGCCCTTAAAGACAGCATAAAACGTTATATGTATACCGTAGCTGAGACAAAGGATTCTAATGCTCTTTGCAAGGCGACAACCCATGGATGCATCTCTATTGAAACAAACTTCTTGGTATGTTGCTTCAGATTGTACAACGGCAAACTATTGAGATGTTTTTGGAGTGGATACTCAGTTAGTGACACCCCATGTTTCTCGAGGTCCTTCAAGTAGTCTATTTCGACTGGTTGTAGGAAGAGGATAGAGTCTCCCTTCTCGCCTAACCTGGCAGTTCTTCCAACCCTGTAATTGCATGGAAATTTAGTTAAAATACTCCAGCAATTAAAAAAAAATAATAAATCATAGCGGCATGACAACCTTTTAAAATATAACATATACCTGTGAACATACTCGATAGCCTCGCCTGGGGAATCATACTGTATGATGCACTTGACTTTCGGAAAGTCGAGGCCTCGGGCAGAAACATCCGTGGATAAAAGAAGGGCTGATTTCTCGGTTTTGAACATCTGGAATGTGTTTTTGCGATCCTCGTGATTCATACTTCCATGTAACCGCAAAGTTTTGCATCTCAAGAATATCTGTCTTGATTCTGCCTCTGATTGTGATTTCGACCACTGGAATTCACTTAGCAGGGTGTAATGAAAATCTACGGCGTCACAAGTTGAAAAAAATACCACAACCTGTAATGTAATGCATACACTCACTAGTCAGAACAAGGTAAACTAACATATAAGTTAATAATCAACCCAGTGAAGAACTTGACAGGATACAAGGCAAAGGAAATATAGCCATCCTAACAAGAATGTTAATCAACAAATTATGAAAAGTGTAAATGCATAATCAACAGATGATCCAGGCAGGAGAGAGGCTCTAACCCATTCTGCGTGAGAGGCAATATTACTCGTTTATGACAATATCAACAATCATGTTCTGATTAAGATGTAATAGAACAAATTAACTATGGAATTTATTTTACGAATTCTGCGAAGAAGCTTTTCCTTCTTTCTTTGAAAAGATGATTAATTATTATGGCCTCACCTTTTGGGAAGCATCTTTCTCAAAGAGATTCTTCAAAATCGAAAGGAGCACTACAAGTCGAGAACCACATGGCACTGCCAACAAATGAGTTGTTAGAATATGCGGATGGCACCTAATTACATTACTGATCAATTAGTACACACACACACACACACACACACACACACACACACATATATCATATCATACCTTTGATATACCTCTGAACTAACTGAGAAGGAAGATTATATTCCTCGATAGAAGAAGTCAGTTTCCTGGATTCCTCCACTACATTAAATTCATCAGACCCAACTGAAAAATGCTTGTGATTTCCACTTTGCAGCATCTTCTTGTCATCAAGACCAATCATCACAGGATTTTCCAAACTCATATTAGCAAGATGATTTACTTTTTCGTTCAGAGTAGCTGATAGTAACAAATTCTGCTTCGGGACTGCAGTTCCCTCACCGACAGAATTATGTTTTTTTGAGCCCAAACAATTAATTATCTCTTCTATGTCTTTCCCATACCCTAGTTCCAGAATCCTATCAAACAAACAAGCATTGTTAGATTCTAAAACTTGCACGCGTAGAAAGTTCGGGTAGGACTGATGTGCGATACCTATCAGCTTCGTCAAACACAAGCCAGCGAAGATTTGTATGTACAAACGATGAAGTATTCTTCAAGTGGTCCAAAAGACGTCCAGGAGTGGCAACAAGTATAGACACACCTAAAAACAATCTTAGTTCTTCAGCAAACTGGGATGATTGATCAAAAGACACATCTACACAAGGTCGATATGACAACTCTGTCAAACACTTAGGCCTATGTAACTACAAATACCAGAATAGAATCAAATTACAACTCCCCAGATGAAATATTTATCAAACATCAAGGCAAGGGAGCTTATAAAAATATGATTCCAGTAGAATGGAAACATGATGAAGTTCATACCTTTCCTTAACCTAGCTTTTTCCTTTGACCTGTTTTCACCACCCATGATATAGCCCGGAACAATCCAATGGAAACGCTGTAACAGCTTCTGCAGAATTTCATACACCTGCATGCATAATTCACGCGTTGGCACAAGAACCAACGCTATTCCACAGACGTTAATGGTATTAGGACAATTTTCTATGGGTAGATGCGAAGGGGAACAGTAGCTACGAACATGTAAAAGTAAAAAGAGAAGCATTTATAACTTTTCCGATCTCTCTTGCAGATATCTTATTGAAGATTTTAAAATGACATATGTGATGAGAATAACAATTTTAGCACAACTCATGTCTTTGCAATCTTTGCAAGGGCCCCAAATAATAACACAATCTTAAACCTTTTTAAGAAAATCCATCAGGGAATACACGAAACACTTAATTTTATAGCATAAAAATAACGCATACCAAACGTGCCATCTGTGCGCTGGATTCTTCGATCATCTTCCTGCAACATATGAACAATTGGAGCCAAATACGCCACGGTTTTCCCACTGCCGGTTGCTGCATTGACAAGCCTATATTTTTCCACTTTCATTAAAAAAACATCAAAAACCTCCTCCAATCACTTGGTAATTTTACTTTAAACCCAGAGACTGAAAAAAAAAAATAAAAAATAAAAAAAATTACACGTGTCTGCCAGACAGCACAACTGGAATTGCCTGCGCCTGCACCTGAGTCGGGACCTCGAACCCCAGCCTCTCTGTTGAACATTTGTAACCGATAACAATGGCAGTAATTTAAACAAGAAACGAAGTTACTTCAGAAAAATCATTTAGCTCATGATCAAGAAGTCGAGAAATCGATTAAGAAAAAATGAAGCTTTACCTTTTAGGTGGTCGCATAATGTGGAGTGAATGCCGAGACTGGTGAAAGAGCAGGAAGCGAAAACCTCTGATGAATTCTTGTTTTCGGCCTGCATTCTTCTGCTATTATTCTTGCTTTTCTGCTCCATTCTACAGATAAAACATAAATTTCCTCCAACCAAATTCGGGGGTTTTCACGGAATTTTGATTTCTGAGTTCTGCTGCCGATGTTAGGGTTTAATCAGTGGCAG